AATTCTAGCTTTGTCCCTCTGAGGCTGCCATACTTGTATTTTTTACTCCTCTTAAACATCACAAACATGCACAAACTAAGCGTTATCTTCAGTGTTGGGGAGTAACAGATTACATGTACTGGAGTTACGTAATCAGAGTACAAATTATGAGTAACTGTATTCAGTTACAGTTACTGTTTCAGTGAGTGGTAATTGGATTACAGTTACTTTGTTGAAATAAATGGATTACAGGGCGGTAGTTTACTGTTTTCACATTTTGGGCTATAATCCTTTTTTTTTTCTCAGTAATTCCACTCATTGCCAAAAACTAAACGAGGTCTAAACCAGGACTAAACTAGAACTAAACCAGGACTAAACCAGGACTAAAACAGGTTTAAACCAGGACTAAACCAGGACTAAAACAGGTTTAAACCAGGACTAAACCAGGTCTAAACCAGCACTAAACCAGGACTAAAACCAGGACTAAAACAGGACTAAAACAGGTTTAAACCAGAACTAAACCAGGACTAAAACAGGTTTAAACCAGGACTAAACCAGGTCTAAACCAGGTCTAAATCAGGACTAAAACCAGGTCTAAACTAGATCTAAACCAGGTCTAAACCAGGACTAAAACCAGGTCTAAAACCAGGTCTAAACCAGGACTAAACCAGGACTAAAACCAGGTCTAAACTAGATCTAAACCAGGTCTAAACCAGGTTTTAACAGGATTTAACAGGACTAAACTACCAAAAATATTTTTAATACGGTTAAGTAAAGTCTGGTCTTTTTATTTTCTTTTAGCAGATAAAACATCTTATGTTACGATATCCGAGTCTTTGCTTCTCTACAGCAAATCAAGTAATCCAAAGTATTCAGATTACGTTACTCACTTTAAGTAATTTACTGGATTACGTTACAAACTACATTTTGGGGTATGTAATCTGTAATCTGAAGGGGAATACATTTTAAAAATAACCTTCCCAACACTGGTTATCTTTTACTTTTTGGAAACACCATTTGCTTTTAAAGAACGTCAAAACAACAATTATTCACTCTCCTTGAACGACTCCACCTCGTAATTGTAGATTTTTTCCCTCTGAGACTGCCGTACTTGTATTTTTTAACCCTCTTAGAACTCCATTTTCCTTCTTATATACTGACACGCATATTTTTTTTACGGTTTGGAGATGCTTTTTGCGTTAAAACGAAGTCAAAACAACAATTATTCACCCTCTTACATACACCCCGCTGTTCCGGACTGCTTTTATTTACTAATCAGACTAAAGTAGCTAATTATTTCCGCTTCAGACAGCCCTCCTCACCTCTCGCCGCCTCCTCGTCTCCGCATGCCTTTTCTTTTGTTGTCGCCGCGCCGGTTGCCGAGGACCGACTCTGTTTCCATGACAACGGGAGGCCAGAGCGAGCGAGCGAGAGAGACAGAGGAAAGAAAAAAAAAAAAAAAAAAAAAAAAAAGAGGGATGCTGAGGCTGCAGTGATAATGCGCGTTTCTCTATGTGTGTGCACTTCCAATAAAGAAACATGCTTTATACGCGGCCTTATTATTTTATTATTCACAGTTCTCGCATTTACGTTTATTGCTTCGCGCCGTGAATGCAACGCTCCATTTAGCCTCCGTGGCGTTTGGCTCTTAACACCGTCGCCATAGGATTGATTAGCTGAGAAATGTTCGCCGTATTAGCCATTAGCATATGCCAGATAATTTGTCAAGTGAGACGCCCAGTTGTGCTTTGCGGTTTTATTGCTAAGTTGATTATACTTTAGCTGTAAATGGTTTTGACAAAAAAAAAAAAAACTGGTCAGTCATCTCCTTGGAAAAGCAACATACAACTCAAATTTATTTTCTGTTCTACTAGAAATATCACTCCCCTGCTTTTATTTGTTTAATTTGTTTACGTTTTGTATCTGCCAACTGCTATAATTTCTTGTATTTAGACTGCGTTTACACTGAAACGAATCTGCGTATCACCGTATCACTGTATCGGAAACGATCTGCGTCCAGACACGTCAAGCCTTCCCTGTCCACACAGCTTTGAGCATATTTGTTTACGTTTGACAGAAAGGAAACTTAAAACCACATGGCTAATTTGCATAAAAAACAGTTTGTTCTGTCTCTGTTTTCAATGGGATTAGTGTGGACGAACACTGCATCCGCAACGAAAACGACTCGAATACGTACTAGTGTGGATTTCCTGTATCTTCTTTTGTTATGTAATGATATTTTGTTTCATTTATTCCATTAACTGTATGATGACCCCCGTGTTTAAAAAAAAAAAACGAAATGGTTTTGACAGCGCCATAATGAAGAGGATGAGGATTATTAGTGAAAAGAGGTTGAAGATGGAGAGGCTGAAGAGACTGGTAGTTAGGACAATGATATAATGAGAAAGAAAATGTCTAAAAGTGGGACTAAACACCTAAACTTCGCCCACAATCACATTTCAAATAGAGATGATAACTTTAGAAGTACCTGGGGACTAAAGGGGAATGTGAGGGTGGAGAAGGGGCGGGGTCTGGGCTTATAAGGAACAGTGTGATTGGTCAGGTATACCAAATACCAATACCAAACAGGTATTCACATTTCAAACTATAATAATAATAATAATTTTATATAATAATAATAATTTGGACACTCAAAGACACTTTACAGTTCATTATTCGTTCACTCCATACCTAGTGGTGGTGGTAAACTACTACTATAGCCACAGCTGCCCTGGGACAGACTGACGGAAGCGAGGCTGCCAATATGCGCCATCGGCCCCTCCGACCACCACCAACACTCACACACTCACCACTTTCATACTCGGCAATGTGGGTGAAGTGCCTTGCCTAAGGACACAACAATAAATATATATATATATTTTTTTTTACAACTGGTGCCCCAATGTGGTACCTGAGTGGTCTCTAAGTACTGACCAGGCCCAGGCTTGCTTAGGCTCTGAGATCCAACAAGATCAGGCTTTGACAAGCTGGTATGGCCACACAATGCCCCTGAAATGCCTGGCTTTAAGCAGAACAGTCCTGAGTGATGTCACGTAGTACTTGGAATAGCAGTGGCCATTTCTGTTTTTGAACACAAAGCTGCCAATCTACCTGGTGTGCTGAAAAATGGCCAAAAAGGACTACACTTAGAACACATTACTACTACAAAGCACCATATACACAGTTCAGTAGCAAGTAGTTAAGCCCAATTCATGGTCATGCGTCAAATCATCTGTGTCGCGATGCAAAGAGTCTGTGTCTGCGTTGACCGACGTGCACCTCCGAAATTTTTTAACTACACATCAAACCGATCCTGGTCCTCTGGTGCATCCACTCTAAATACATTTCCAGTTCTCCGCGTTCCCGCTTCATTTTGTATACACGAACGCAATGAACGCAGTCGTAGCCCTCTGGTGTTGTGGTGGTGAATTACTTCGCGGCGCATAGGCCTCGATGAAGATCCATAAATCAAAAACGACAGTGACAAGGCGACGGCGGGAGTGTGCCTTGAGTCGATGCAGAACTATAATTCAGCCTTTAGTAGTTTAGAAGTTGATTCAGTGATCAGTTCTTCTTCACAAGGCAACAGGATTTTTGTTTACAAGATGATTGGTTGAGAAGAAATGCTGGCATGCTGTGATTAGAGGACAAAAACGTCGTTGTTGTAGGTTGTTCCTGTTTGAATTTACCCTTTGTTTATGCAAAAATAACCCTTTTACCACTTTATTCAACTATTATTTAAAAGATGCATTTTGTAACATTTTTGGTGGAGAGTCTGCTTCCTGCCACGCTTCATGGTGATGTTATTGCTTTACCATAGGGGTTCGGTCAAGCAGTAACGGAGGGAAACAGGGGCAGATTTTTTACATTCAAATAGCTCTTATTCAGAAACTAGAGGGACTATTGAAATAAGTAAAGTATCAGAATGTAGGAAAGAGTTACACTCCAACAGGGTCAAGTTAAACCTGTGATATTCTTTCAAGTTGTTGACAAAAAATTAAAAAAACTCATGTCGGTAACGGAGGGAATGAAATATGCAGCACTTTTTGGGCAATAAATACAAACAGTGATAACTCTTGGTTCTCACTTACATATCCTTAACAAACTGGTTTGAATATTTGCTTCATATAGTTTTCTACCATATGGTACAAGATTAGGTTGAAAAACCTCTTACTTTTTGAGTAATGAGATTTTTTATTAAGAAAGGTCATGGTAACGGAGGGAAAATTGTTCAAGCAAGTAGAAGGTGCAGGATTTTACATAATTTGTCAACTTTTTTCTTCTGAATACTTTAATATTACTTCAAAATGAAAGGAAACTATTTTTTATAAAATATGTCAGTCCTTCCAAGCAAATTTTTATCATTTTAAATACTTTTTTTTTTTTTAAATCATGTACCTTCATCAACAGTTCAAAGATGGAATAACACAAGATATGATGAAATACATCCATTTATTTACATGATTTTCAGGTCTTTGAAATTTGGGAAATTATTTTTGTTCCATGTTTCATACATGGTCTGTTTAAAACATATGTAACTTTAGAACCAAAAATGGTACAGAAAAAAGGTCAACAGTTTCATAAACTAGAGTACATATGTATCTGTTCAATACATTTTTATATCAGATGCATTAACTTGAATTTTTGGCCTTGCTGTTTACTTCTGCTTGACCGGGCACACAGGCTTTGTCATTAGAAATCAAGAAAATCATCATTAAACTTATCTCCATGGAGACAAGCAGGTGATCCAGTAGGTTACAGTTTCTTGACTTGTCAGATCTGTGGAGAGGTCATCCCATGCATGTTTTCAAGTAAATTTTGTGGCAGTAACAACACATTTGAATTTGAATGAATATTATGTCACTGTGGAACATTCTTGGCAAAGTAAAAACATCAGACCAGCAGGCAGTGGACTTTCTGTACTAAAAGTTACATAATACACTTTTAATACACAGATATAACCCTGGTCGTCTGAAAGCAACCACGTTTTAAATTAAACCTTTCTTTTCTATCTTTTGCAGAGTTCCCAGAAAAAAAGAGGAGCGCGAGGGAACAACAAAGCGGAGAAGAAGCCGTGCCCTCAGGTGGGTGCATCCACACAGCTGTATTTACTGATAAACCAACTCAACCGCAGCACACAACAAGACCTTTATGCACTTCAAATACTCACCCACATCAGACCCTGCTGCTGTTTTGGGTCACTGAACGCTGTCGGATGAAGTTGGCGAGTTCTAACTTTAGTCACTGTATAGTTTTGTTTGTCTGATAAATGTTTTAAACCCCACAACACTTCTTTTTTAAGTGTTTCTTATTTCCATCCTGTCAATACTGTAACTATTTGGTATCAGAAGTAACACTGATATAGTTTTTTATGGTTAAAGCAACAGGGGTAGTTATGATTTCCTTCATTTTTGAACTACCATTGTCTAAGGCTGAGTTCAGACTTGAGCCTGAAGTGACCCAAATCCAATTTTTTTGCTCCTATGCGACCTGTATCTGATCTTTTAATGACACACATCCGATTTTTTTAAATGTGACCCAGGCCACTTGAATATCCATCCATCTATCCATCCATTTTCTTCCGCTTATCCGGGGCTGGGTCGCCACTTGAATATGTCCTCCTAAAACCGATACATATCCGATCTTTTGTCATGCGACTTCAGTCTGAACGGCCAGGTCACATTCATCCCACCTACACGTCACAAATGTACACAAACGTTCTTCTCGTCAGGCGAAAATTGTGTCTGAGTGAAGCAGAGAAGCGCATCGCAATCCCACCGCTCTTGGCTGCGACTCTGCACCCACACATTCTTTTCTACGGACGTTGCTGCCACTGTCCCACAAAACGCCATGGTCGAAAACCTTGTCCTTCTCTTTCTCAATCTTCCTCCTTAAAACAAATAAGCTGTACATGTTCTGACTCCGGTACGACAGCGACTTTAAAATCTCCAGGTGCTCAATGCTCATGTCCATGTTTAGGCGACTTTCGTAAACACTGATCACGATCGCTGCCTGTGACATCGACACTTTTGGGGCGTTTAAAGTTCACACACAAGTCGCATTTAATTGGAAATGTGAACGACCTCGCAAAAGAATCGCATTTCACAAAAAAATCCAAATTGAGCATTAAGGTTGTATAGCAGTTTTTTTCGAAATCAAGAATCAGAATCTCAGTTTGTCTTCGCTCCTTTTCCCCTTCGCGACCTCAAGAACCGACTTTCTTTTAGGTTATTCTCAAGTGTTGATCACGTCTTACATATAGTTGATCATTAATCATCTATTTCACAGCCAATTTCATAAACATGAGGTATCTGTGTCCCCAGAGATGAGTTGAACACGCTCAAATCAAATCTAGCTTTTACTGATAACAAACGTAATACAGATTTATTTTTAGTGAAGAAACGGGACATGATGGCCGTGTTTTTTTATATTATCAGTCAATTATCCCATTAGACCAGGGGTGTCAAACTCATTTTGGTCCGGGGGCCGTATCCAACCTACGTTGATCCTAAAGGGGCCGGATCAGAAAACTCATGGCATATAAACCCCAAAAACAGCAATAAGTTCAAATATTTGTGCAGAGAAACGCAAATCTATTACAGAAATCTTTTTTAATTGATGAACTCTTTCTTTTACAAAATATTACAATATTATGAGAAAAAATGCTATTTCAACACAATGTTTTAATATGAACTTATTTGCAAATAGGAATAAGTCAATTTTTCTTGGAAAATCCTGCACTCAGCGTCCGCTTTTCTATTTTTGACATTTTGCTGATGAAGGCGTCACATTCAACAGTCAAAACGATCGTCCTTTAAGAGCGTTTGGAAAGAGACAAGTCTTCATTTGTGCTGCTCTGGTGGGAGGGGCCACGTACAGAGGCTCTGGAGACGTTGCTATGATAAACATCACAGAAAATGACCAATATTTTAATAGAAAATATTATTAAAATATTTTAGTAGAAAATCAGCCGAGGGCCAGATTAAAGGTCTTGGAGGGCCGGATCTGGCCCCCGGGCCGTATGTTTGACACCTGTGCATTAGACTGAGCCTCTTATTTCTTGTCCATTATTTCATCTCTCATTTTGGTTGTTCCAAGTCTGAAATCCAGTTTAAACCCAAAATGCTTCCCTCTGATCCGAATGGTCTCTACCTAAACCCCAGGACCTGCAGCCAGTCCTGAGTAAGTGCTAGTGCAGCCTTTGCAGCTCGGGGGAGTGAATTCTGGAGGTTTTGAGCTTTCACACAGACATAGCAGACTTTTAATGTGTGTTCATCAAGTCATGCATAAAATCTGAAATAGCCAGAATGAGCTCAGAAGTACGGCCATGTTTATCAAAAAGAAAACCAGAACAAACATTATGAAATTTTGTAAATCTGTTAAAAGAGGTGGAGCTCTGGAACAACTGTAAAGAAGATCTAAAACTGTGCTCTACTCTCTTCCATTTTATATACAAGTTTAAAAGTTTAACTCTGAGCAGATACATGAATTATGAGACTTAGTTTGTAGTATAGTTATAGTACTATTATTATGTTTATTTATTTCGGACAGTAATACATAGAACATAAATTAAAAAACAAAAAACTAAATAATAAAAAAAGACAAAAACTTAAATACATAGATATAACACAAAAAGTAACTATTTCTATTCTATAATAAATAAATGTTACGCAGAATTTTCCTTGTGTCCGAAAAAGGACTGATTTGTTTGTTTCCTCTTGTTTTATTTATGAAGATGAACCGGTTTCACGATGACGCTCAGACGAAGGAATAAAGAGTAAAGGCAGAATAAGCTCAAGTTTCAGCCTATACCTTTTCAGTCTGTGTATGTTAAATATGACTGTGTATGGAATAATGTCAGAATATTCCTGTGAACGAAATAAATGAATCAATCAATATACAATTAATATTCACTGGGTCAAATGCAGAGGACAAATTAACTGCTGTATTTAAGTGGAGTCGCATCTGTGCTTTACTTCACCTACGCTCCTGTATCCTTGGCTCCATGGGGGGAGGTGGGAGGAGGTTGTTTTGGGTCACTGACTGTTTTCAATAATGTCTCCTGTGTATGACCTGTATTCTGCAGGTTAATCTTTTTCTCTTATAATGGGACACAGTAGGAAGCTTCTACCTCAGCATTTTTCCTCTGTCCTTATATCCCCTTCTCTCCCGCTCTCTCCTCCTCCTCCTCCTCTCTCCTACTCACTCCTCTTCTCTTCCCCTTCTTTCTCATCGTCTTTCCACCTCTACAGTATCCTCCTCTCCTCGAATTTTCTGTCCAGCTCTTTACTCCTCTCTCCTCCTCTCCCCTCCGCTCTTCCTCTGTGCCTTTTCTCTCCCGCCCTCTCCTCGTCCTCTCTCCTACTCACTCCTCTTCTCTCCTCCTTTCTCATCCTCTGTCCTCCTCTCCTCCTCTCTCCCTTTTCTCTCCTCCTCTCTCCTTGTCCTTCAGCTCATCTCTAGGTCTCGAGCTTAACATGATCCCTGTGCTCTGTTTGTATCAGAACCACAGATATGATGCCGGTGAGGATTTCTCTGAGAGGTTTTCAGAAACTGGTGTCCACAAAATATTATAATCCGGGATGCTCTGACATTGGGCAAGACTCTCTGAATGTTGCTTGTATGATAGTGTTGTTAACAAAACACAACTTCGAGTGGGCTAATGTGAAGAAACATTGTTATAATCTTGTTTAAAGATAATACAAGTCAGTTTTACATAATCTGTCAAATTTAAAGGAAATTTATATTGCAATGTGTTAGAAACAAGCGACAAAACGCATAGCCTGAATCATGAGCCGGTTTTACTTCGTTTCACTTCGTAGAAACCGTCTGAACTCGCAGCGTTAGATTTCATTCGCGGTCGGCAGGTAATTTTTGTCATTTAAACAATCGCTGCTATTTGGTCGTATGTAATGCGCCACTAACTGGGCTAACTGGTATATTAAGCTTTTCCCAAATCCCGTAGGAACAAGGGCAATAACGTCTTTCCGCTTGATGAAATTCACTAAACATTCTCTTTGTTCCGGCTTTAAATCCTCGATCTCGGGAATCGTTGCCAACACAGAATGTATGTCTCTTCGATGATTGGCTGGTGCCCGAACTCGCTCTTCCGGGGTTTTGCGAACCATCTATTGTATTGCGATTACTGACGTAGTCGCTGGAGAGAAATGAAACTGAGTAGAGGCACTAGGTGGCGCCAGTCTGGCTACAAAACACATACAACGGAAGACAATATTAGTAGGGAAGGTATATCGTTTTTCGGCAATATCCGTGACAATCCCTGAGGATTTCCCCAGATATCGTATTGGTCCGATATTGAAAATTGTGCCGCTATTTGGCACCAATATTTGTATAATTTCCAGTTTTCCTCAGAGAATCGGATTTGTCTTTTGGAGCAGACTCAATGAGAGACAATATCAGTTAATGAATCCCACATTTTTCTTATGGTTTTTACAAGAGCAATAAATTAATATGTAAACTTCAACATAACTTCACATAAATTTGGTCTGTACTCTAGATTTTAAAGCATAATATTGGTATTGGCAAATATCAGTTGTCAGACACAACAGCAAGACAAATATTGGATATCAATATTGTGTCAAAAAATCCATATCGGACCATTCCTAATTGTTTAGTGTTAAAGTTGTTAAGCAAATAATTGTATCACACCTTAAAAGTAATGAGATACTGTCACAACTCCAAATTGCTGAGAACAATAGAAGCATTTATACCATTTTGTAAACCCCCTTTGACCTTAACTTTTATGACATAACACTTATTGATAATTTGCTCAACCTTCATTTATATTTCCTGCACAAAACTCGTCCAGTGTGTAGTCAGTAGTACAATGTGTACACTGTCAAAGCCAAAACACCATTAAATGTTTTCAAAAACATGGAGCTATGAACAAAATGCATTCGAGTACCCAAGGATTTATCCAAAAGCCAGTTTTACCACAGCTTTTTACAAGGATTTTACAGTTATTTTCCCACTAACCACTGGGCCTTGTGGTGGTTCCAGCTTTGAAACATTGGCTTTTCAGGGCTCCAACTTGGCAAAATCTTCTGGGAGGCCATTCAATCTC